ATCTCCTTCATACTCTTCTGCCAGGTCATGGGTTGGCCACCTCTCTGTTTACGCCACTCCGAATTGGGCATGGAAAACACTCTCAAACACCTCTAGGTACCTTTATTACATGGACCATCAATCGCTGTCATGTATGCACGTTGCACATGTTCATCATAGTGACCGTCCCTTTTCAATCTAGTGTGGACGTGCTGGTTGGCGCTTTGTGGAGTATATGCCTTTGGCGCCTCGAATTTCGCAGGTTTGCAATATGAAGAACATTTGATCAGTTTTTCGTGTTGGGTTGAGGACAAACAAGAATGTTATCCACCCTGGATATTGCTTGATATCCTCACCGTGTGTCAGGGAGAAGTTTCCAGACTCCCCACCAAATAACTTGTGAGCGAATTTTTCATCGTTTTTGGGTGGATAATCGATCCTTCAGCTGTATCATGCTTTCGGTGCCTGGCTGCCAAGCCAACAGAAGGAGGCATCAAGGCTTGGATACTGGCGGGTTGCCGAAGCCTTGACAAGGGCAGTGGAGACGTTGAGGTTGGGTTCGAACCACGGACCTTCCGGTCCGTAAGCTGGCACCTTGAACACATCTATCTCGAGCCCTGCTGAACGTCTCGCCTAGACAGTTTTCATTAGAAGCTTGTTGTTGTTGGGGTTTCAAGATCTGAAATCTTTCGTGTAAAAGAGAGTTGGGTAATTGACAACGTCAGTAAAATCTGTAATGTTGGTTAGAAAAACCATAGAATCGAAACGGAACCCTGGTCTCAACTGCTGCAGTTTCGTTAGCCGAGGCATGACAGTGGGACCGTTAGCTGAATCAGTTCATTGGTTTGTTGTTTCAGCTAATTGGTTATGTTTGTTACCGGATTGATATTCATCATAATCATCAATGGTGGCGACAAATCAGTTACGCATACCCGTGCTAAGTTGTTATACAACAGTGAGGATATTTTCTGAAGAGCATCCGTTTCCCAGAAAGACATGTTTTGCGTAACAGATGCACCATTGCTCTTTGGGTCTGCATCACCAATCAGTTGGTCGGTTGGTCTTTTGGAAACTGGGGAACTGCTGTAATCCCTCTTATCTGTATCCAGGAGGCGAATAGTTCCGGATAGCCGCTTTTAGCCACTCAGTGTACCAATTCATTTACTGTGAATTTCAGCCCTAGATCTCATACAGGCTCTGTGAGCTCAAGGTAACTTAGTGGTCCGCGGTTCAAACCCAATCTCAACCACTCCTGTCTAGGTTTGGGCAACCAGGCAGTACATCATTCGCTGTGGTTCCTTCTTGTGACATGGTAGCCGGGCACAGAAAGTGTGTTACAGCTGAATGATTATTCATTATTATTGTCATATACGGGCTTCTGCTCTTATTCTAGTAAAATTGGAACAAGCAAATTATCCGGCGCTAATCAAGTGAGTGCTGGTGAGCGAAAACTATCCTGTTTTGTCCATTAGCCTCATTAGATAAGATATTCCAGTTACGCGCTACTTGTGTGAACGATGTGACCAGTTGTTCTTTTGATTTGAATACCTTCAGCTTTTAGACAACCCACTCCTCTCCGCAGTGGGCTGCGGCTGGTTTTCAGGTGCACCCGTGCCCTAATTATGGATGAGATCGCCGTAGAATCTTCTGACTTTGGGAGTATAGGTCAAACCTCTTGAGGTCGTAATACAGGGCACCTGACGAGCCTCTTCAGCATATTGGTGACTTTTCGAATGGGAAGTCATTAACAAAGGCGTCAAGCTATGGAGGTCCGCAAAATGAGCCTCCCGGCATTCGGCTTATAACAACGATGGATTTTGAAGTTACCTCTAACCTTAATCCCTCGACGCATTTCTACCTGGAAAATCTTTGATCTGTTCAAAACTCTTCTCTTGGACTTCACAGAAACAGTTTGTTCAACAACTGTTGAGGGATCTTTCCGGCAGTCCTGCTAAATTCAACGTAAACGACTTCCAGGCGGTATCTGATATGGATTTGTGCTGCCCACTTTCGCAAATTTATGGTGCAAAGTCTGTCCTAACGAGATCCACACTGCTGTTCGCGCCGCAGCCAACAATCATTAAAACATTGTTGCAAGCATCTAAGTGAGACTCATTGATCTTTAGTTTGCTAGGTCATTTTGTGGGCCACTTTCGTGCACCCGTTTGACAGCACCTCCTCCCACGTGTTGCACTGGGCACTGAAGAGTAGAATTTCTTCGGAATTGGAATATCTCTCCCACCCTCTGAATAAAAGCTTTCTGTCGCCATTGTGGGTTGCAGTGTTGGGAATGGTTCACCACCATCGAGATATCCCAGTGGTTAAGGCGCCAGCTTACGGACCGAAAGGTTCGTGGTCCGTCACGAAGAAACTGGACCTTACCGTGGTGTGACGGTTTGCGCACCTCAGCGATCCATTGAGCTATACTGGACAGTGTCCCGCGACCCTCACAGAGTCTTTCATACCAGGTTGCTCAATGGTTAGAGGTCTGACGAACACAGTCTCCTGGCCCTCCAGGTTGGGGGTTGGAACATGTGGCGACTTGTTCCGTAGAAATGGTAATGCATTTGCATTTCCCGCCAAACACCGCTGCCTTGCGGTTAG